CACACCGGGCAGAGGCCTTGGCATGTTGCTTGTCCCCGAGCACCAAAGGTTGCCGCAGGCTGCAGGCGGCGCAGGCGGGTCCGTTCGGCGGGGCGCACGTGCGCGGCAGCAGCGCGCGCGAGTGCTGAGGGCTCCGTTGGGGGGCAGCGGCGACAGGCGGGCCGCCAGCCGCGCCCGACGAGCCCCCTTGCCCCCTCCCCTCCCGGGGGGGCGAGCTCGCAAAACTACATAAAACCCTCAACCCCCCTCAGTACTTTACTATGACGCCGAGCAGTGACCGCGCACACGACACGCACGCCACATCACATTTGCAACGTTCGAGACGCACTGCACATGAGGGGCACACCAGACGCCAGGTGACCGAGGCTAACCACGTGACGCTTCCGACGCGCCCGCGCCCTTCCCGCTTTGTGTCGCCTTTTGTGAAACTGCACCCTGCTCTGATTGGTTCCGCTGCCTCTCGCGCGGAACGCACAGTTTAAAGTGCTTTTTTGGCTGTTGTAAACCAGGCCAGAACCAGAATGGGCCTGTGGCCCTTGCTTGCCTCCGTGCTGTCTGTTGGGGCCTAGGCTCGAGGGCGTCACAGCTGGGCGCGTAGGCTGGCGCAATGTATTCGTCAAGCATTACAGTTGTGTCTCTGCTTTTTGTCAGCAAAAGCGCCCAGCGGCCGCATGCTTCTGGATCAATCCGCGCTCCCAAGAATGGGCTTTGCGGCAAAGCGATTGCACGCAGAGGTTGCAGGCCACCGCTGCAGGGCGCTCCAGGCGAGCGCGCGCAATCTGTGGGTTTACGCGGGGACGCATCTGGCGGGAAAGGTGCCAAATGACATGTCACGCGCGTGCATCTGTCTGGGCTGCCAGCCCGCCCGGAGCCCATTGCACACAGGCGCCCAGAGTGCACAACAGCGGTGTCCGGTGACTGCAGGCATGCTGACATCCTGCAAGGCAACAGAGGGCGCCAGATAGGATAGGGTATAATAGGACAGGATTGTTACAGCGTCCCGCGGTCGCCCGCTTCTGGAGCCATCCAGGCTCATGGGATTGGATTTGGCGCCGAAAAGCCGCTCTGGCCGTCCGGGTGCTGGCGGCGCGCGGCGGGCATATGAGACACCCTTTATATGTTCGCTTGTTCATCATGCAAAGCAAATGCCTGTTCTTCGATGTCTCATCCTCCATGCAAGGTTTTGAAGGGATCAACCGTCCGTGCAAGGACGCCGATCCGCCAGCTGTGAAAACCACCAGGAACGTGAGAACAAGCAGCCACAAAGTGCCGCGAATGCGGGCTTCAGCGTATCTGACGTTAGTTGATCGGCAGATTATTTTATCCTTTTTTTCCGGGTTTTGTCAGCTTCCACGCACAAACCGATCCTAGGCCAGTCACCTGTGGCGCGGGGCGCACATCACCACCCACTCCAGTGTTATACCAGAGCTCTATGGGTGTCCATGTGGGCAAGCAAGTGAGTCTAACAGGCCCGATCGTCCCTGAGGCCCAGCATGGGCTGTGCGTTTGCAGAAAACTCAACGCAGTTGCGACGACATCCAACTTTCGGTTCTGCAGTGCAACTCAACAACAATTTAATAATACTTCGTACCCACTCTGACAGGCGCGGATGGGTCGCGGCGCCGACTGCTTCGCGCCCGCCACAGTAATGATGGTGAGCTTCTTTCCATCCTTCTGGGCCTGGTACCATGCCGCACGGCGCACGCACGCCGAACTTGATTGCCTGAGGTCCACCTTATTATGCGCAGCACGCGCCATCTGCACGGCGCCACGCAGGGCGGCGCCCAGCTGACCGCTGCCGCCTCCTCAACGCAGCTCGAGCTGACCTCCTGTGCCACTTGCTCGCATGGGCACCCCGTATGACTGCAGGCCGACATGCAGGTCTCTAATGTGATGCAGGTCTCTCATGTGATGCATCATGATGGCACTGATGTTTGGGCTAGCGATCAGCAACCGCGCCGCGCCAGGGGCCGGCGCTTGGCAGCACCCTGCGCCGCAGCCGCAGCAGGAGCAGCCGCAGCAGGAGCAGCCGCAGCAGAACCAGCAGCAGCAGCAGCAGCAGCAGCAGCAGCAGCAGCAGCAGCAGCAGCAACCAAGCACGGCGCGCCACAGCCCGCGGCCCTCCCTGGCGATGGCAGCAGCAGAGGGCAAGAGCTCTACGGGCACGCCCGCAACAAGGCTCTCGAACTCGTGGCGGCCGGAGCCGCCCTTGAGCGCCTCGTACCCGGCGCGGCCGCCGTCGCCCCGGCGGCCCTGCCAAAGCAGTGGCGCCGGTTCCGGGTGCGGCGAGTGGCAGGGCGCGCGCGCAGCCGGCTGTCGTCCGCGACAGGGTGAACAGCCCGCGGCCCCGCTGCGGCACGGCAGGACACACTCGCTGCATTTGCTGCGGCGGGGCCGGGCCGGGGCGTGCGCGGGGGGCATGGCCGTGCACCGGCGTCCACGGGCCCGTGCCGCGCCCCACAGGCCTCGCCAGCAGGGCCACTCTGGCCGTTGGGGGCGGGCACATGGATCCGCATGACCCAACTTGCTGTCCTGCAGCCTCTGCGCCCACGGGGGCGCACTCCGGGTGTTCAGCCGCCAACCCCAACCCCCTCAGCACGTCGGGGCTGTGCGCAGGCGCAGGTGCGGTTGATAATTTTGTTCCTCCCTGGCCAGTTGCCCGGCTCTGCATGCGCCCCGTGGTGGCGGCGCGTGCTCCGACGGCCGGCGCGTGCTGCGGCGCTCCGGCTTCCCTGTGCTGGGGCGCGAGGGGATCCCTTGTCTCAACCGTTACCCCACGACCCTGCTATTTTTTCCTCGCCGGGTCGACCCCACAAGCTCCTTGTGCAATGCGCACACGGCGCGCCCGCCCCTTTTGGCCCGTCCCTCCCCGCGCCGCCGCCCCGCCGCTGCCTAGGCGTCGCGTGCTGCCACGCCGATCGACGGCTCTGCACCCGGGCTCGGAGCGCCGTCTGGCCGCCTCCGGCACCCCTGAATGACTGTAGAGGCCTAATCTATGGCCACTTGCCTCCTGAGCAGTATGATTGTGATTCTTATCCTGCACCTTCCGCGTTGCGCGGTCCCCTCTGTCTGGAACCCCGGCTTTGCATTTGCATGGGCTCCACTATTCCTACTTCCGCGGCCGTCTGGCGCACCCTGCTCAACACTAACCCACCCCGCCGCGCCTCGCACCGAACCGTCGCCCCGCCGCGCTCTATGGCACGCGGCGCGCGCATGCACTCTGCCCGCCTACAACCTGGACAACAACTGATGAGGTTGCCTCCTGGCTGGACGCCGCACGTCAGTGCACCGACACGCCAACTGCGTGCCTGCGCTTCAAACAGGGAATTGTGTCGTGGGGTCGGTCTTTTGCGGCCCCAACGCACTGCGCTGCCTGGCGGGGCAGCGCGAGCGGGAGGGAGCCGTGGCATCCCAGCGCTGGCAAGGTCTGCGAGCGCCTCTCGCGCGACCGCTTGCCTCTGGCCCCAACCCCTGCTTCCCCCAGCCACCCTCGTGCACCCTCACTCTGGCAGCTGTGCTCCCATTCTTTCCTCTGTCCCTCTGTCACGCCGCGCGGCGCCTGCATTGGCGCCCACGACGGCCTCAGAATCTGGATAGGTGTGCTGCTTTTATCGCTGACCCTTGAACCCCCTCCCCTAGTTGCAACAGTGTATCCACCTCATCAGCATGTGCGCCTTCATCTGAACTTGCTGCTTGGGCACCAAGCCATACAGTCGCGATGATTGCAAACCCTTGGGATTCAGGGTTTACCATACTCTAAACCCCGGCGGCCTTCTCGGCAGAGGCTGCTGGTTGAAAAGATGGCGCCGGGCATGCATCTGCCGCTCTAATTTGCTTGCTGGATACGCACGAGATCCTCCTCTGACCAGGCGAGCAGCTTTGATCTGCCCGCCCGACTGGGGCTTTCTATTTGAAATGCAACGCACGTTTTGATCTCGTTGGGCGCGCCCCGTGTCCGTCCTCGACACCGGCCACGGGCCAGTGCACGTGCCAAAGCTCAGCCCGGGTGGCGCGCACGGCAGCGCGGCCGAAAGATTGTTGTCTGACCCTCGTTTTGTCGACACCAGCTGGCATGCAGCATCTCGCAGCGGCCATCTGAGGTCGCAACCCATGCGGCGGCGGCAGCGCACCGCTACCTGCTCAGCCCCAGCCTGCTCGCGCAAACGGACGCAATAGACATTGCGCAACGCGTGCATGCGTGCTGCGGCGTGCGCGCGCTACTTGGTACCTTCATGTCGTTTGGTGTAAGAGTGTTGCGCCACTGACCACATGCGTTCACTGGCATGGTTCTAAACAAACCTGCCCAACAGGTGGCCCCCAGGGCCTGGGGCGCCGTGTTACTGCCTGGGGCAAACATCATGATTCATGAGTTTAAAGGGCGGTCACGCCGTTGAGACACGACGTGGCCACCCATTGCACAATAAAACTTGGTATATGGGGAGGTTTGATTATTTTGGTCGCGCGACTCTAGGCGGAGTGTCAACCCACGCCCCAAAGGTAGGTCGAGCCTGCAGACGAGCGGGGGCCAACCCACGGCGCCAGGTGCGTCGCTCGGGGTGGTGGCAACAAGCCCGGAAACATAGATATGCCCGCACTCCGCTCGTCAAAGTTGTTGGCCTCAATAAAATCAGCTTTCAAAACCTGTGTTTGCGAGCAGGTGCACCACAAATATACATCAGGTACCAATGATCTGGCATCTGTAGAGGGAACCTTGAATCACCTATCAGCGCGCTTTTGGAGGGAACCTGCTAGTGAAAGGGGACACATACATACGCCACGGCAGGTCAAACAAGAACGCAGTCCCGTGCAGATCCGGCATGCTCACGTTGCATGGTGGCTCGAAAAACCCATTATCAGTCGAATTACCGTACAAAAAATTGATCGATCCACAGTAGTGTGGCGCGGCTGCGGCCGCGCGGGGCGCAGGCCGCCCAGCTGCTGACGCGACCCGCTGCGCCAAGCACGACCGCCGCTGCCGGAGCACCGCGGTTCTGTGAGCCATGCAGCTGCCCGAGGTCCAGGCCCTGATTGGCCTGGCGGAGCTGGGCGCCCGCAGCCCCTACCCGCTGCGCCGCGGCGTCGCCGCCCTCCTCCGCGCGGCCGGCGCCGGCGCCGCCGCTGCCGCCGTGCCGCGCTCGGACGTGCCCGATGTCCTGCCCGCGGCGGCGGCGCTGGCCGTGTTACAGACCCTCCCGATCGTGAGCCGCCGCGCCCGCGCGCCGATCGCCGCGGCGCCGCCTTTGCAGCCTGGCGGGCGCGGCCGCCCGCCTGCCGGCCGCGGCCGACCCCCTGCACATACCGCCGGGCCCGCCCGGGCCCCACGGCGCAGCCGATGACGAGACAACGCAGCATTGCCCGCGGCGCACCCCCGCAGGACGCCGCAGCGGCGGCGCGGCTGCCGGCGGCGATGGCGCTCGAGGGCGCGGGGTTCGGCGCTGAGGGGGCGCTAGTGCAGACGGACGCGCTGGCGGCGCTGCTGTGCTTGGTGTGCGGGGGCGGCCTGGATGAGAAGTTGGATCTGGCGTTCTGGGTGCTTGACAGGTGCGCCTATTTTGCTCGTTGTGTGTGTGTGTGTGTGTGTGTGTGTGTGTGTGCGCGCGTGCGTGCGTGCGTGCGTGCGTGCGTGCGTGCGTGCGTGTGTGTGTTGGTGGTGGACGTGGTGGTGGTGGTGGTGGTGGTGATGATGGTGGTGGGGTGTGCGTGCGTGCGAATGGTTATGTGCGTGCGTGCGACGATGCGTTGCAAGCGAGCGGCGTGCGGCGCCTCGCGGCGCGACACGGCCCCGCGAGCGACGACAGCGGCGCCGCGCCGGTGCTCCCGGTTGCAGCGTCCATTTCGACCCGCATGGGCGCCCGGCGTGGGAGGCCGCATGGCATGGAGCTGTGCATGGGGTAGTGTAGGTCCCCATGCATCTCAAACCCAATCCCAATTGATGCAAACCGGGGTCAAGACGGTGCCCCCCCTTCCTCCCCCCGCGCTCGCCCGCTGCAACCGCTGTCGGCCCCGCAGCGCCGGCGCCGGCGCCGTCACGCGCGAGGCGGCCGCCGCCGCGGCGCCGCTGCTCTGCCGCCGCGTCGCGCCGGCGGCGGCGCTACTGCTGGGGGACGCGGCTGCCGAGCAGCTGCTGCTCGAGCGCCGGCGCGGGCGGGACAGGGGAACGCGCGGCGGCGGGCCCGGCGCCGCCGCGGGCGCGACGGCTTCTGACAGGCGGAGCAGGGGCGGCGGCGACGGCGGTGAATTAGACGATCCCGAGGTTGCGGGCGAGCGCGCGGTCCGAGGCGCGATCTGCGAGGCTTTCGATGAGGTGGACGCGGGGCGCGCCGGCCGGATAGGGAGGGGGGAGCCGATGGAACGGCTGGTGTTTGCGGCCGCGGCGCGGCTCGCGAGCCTCATGGC